ACAGATGAGGTGCCCCTCCATCTCCCCCAGCCCAGGGCTCTGCGTTCAAGTCCTATGCCAGGAGAGAGTTAAGGGCTTGGGTTTAATTTGCCCGTTAATCACAGTTAAAAGAAGTAATGAGCGTCTCCCCAAAGCGTGGGTGTTTCTCTGCAGATTAAGCAGCAATTTGCATAGCCCCTTTATTCATTCCCACCTTCCCCTGTGGGGCGGCTTGTCCTTTCAGACACAGCCAAGCGCAGCCGGCGGCAGGAGCAGTTTGACAAATGGCTTTGCCTTGCGCCATGGTTTGGGCGACAGGGAGGGAGGGGGACACTGGGAGGGAGAGGGCAGCTCCCGACAGTAATGGATAGCTGGGGCGTTAAATAGTGCAGAACTTTTTATTAGACACACAGGAGAAGTTTAAATATTCAAACTGGTTTTCTTTGAAGCCTGGGGAATGAGAGGAGGGTAGCAGGCTGGCTAAGGAGAGTTTACTCAGGGCCAATTTACTCAGAGGCCCCGATTGTCCCAGTCATTGGAGAGCAAGGGCATCTGGAGGACACAGGGGGATCCAGGTCAGCTGGTGCCCCGGGGTGCCATAGCCCTGCAGCAGCCTTGACACCCTCCTGCTGGGCCCGGCTTGCCGTGCAGGATGGCAGCCTGGAGGCAGCTCTCAGGCCAGACTTCTGGGCCAGAGCAACTTGTTCAAAGCCCAGCCAGTGAGTGTGAGCAGCTTTCGGTACACCAGGGCTCCGGCCCTGCTTTGGTAGCAACCCTGTGTCTGTGAGGCAATGATGTCATTGCGTTGCCAAGAGGATGTGACCTTAGGCCTCTGCCTTCCTTCCTAGAAATGTTCTCCACAAACAAGGAAAGAGGAGAGATGGCCCCAGAAGATCCTCAGGCAAGGTGCTCTCCCTGGATGACGGTGATGGGTGGAGGGATTTTAGTCCATCAGTCCATTTTAAAAGCCTACTTAGCCCCAATGTTCTCCCCAAACTTCTAGCACTTTGTGGGACTCTTCCTTTTTGCTAATCTGTGAATCACCTGATACAATATTTCAGAGGTCACAGTCACTTGAAGAGAGATCATTAAAACAACTGAAATTCAGAGAAGTCAACTTTGAGATTGCAAAGGGAACACAATAGCTCTTATAATGCAACCAACAAAGCTCTCCTAAGGACATGTATCCCGCCCTTGGGGGGTCTGGGAATGCTGATGACAATAGAGGGATTAATTCTGGAAATGTCCACTAAGTATTTGGGCCTCATCTGAGCTGAGTGGGAAAGGCTTGCAGGGAGCCAGGAAAAGGGTTGGGGACTTGGGCTGCATGAGCGACTGGTCTCTTAGGTGGGAACGAGGCTACAAAGAAGAGAGAGAAATCCAGTTATCAAGTGTTGACCTGCTACACAAGGAATTAGGGGAGCAAAGAGGGCATTAGTTTCTAAGCAGGGAAATGAGTAGGGCAAAAGGGCCCATAGCAAATGGAAAGGGCGGGTTGGAGGGGAGCCAAAAGAAACTGGAAAGCTATTAACGGAACCGGTGGAGATAGGATATGCCAGAGCTACAGTGTACACGGGGATCATAATGGTTTTATTTGGGAGATGTTGGGATATGGGGGACAACCTAAGTCCAGGATCTTTTCAATCTGCCACCCTCTCATAACTATTTGTGTTTTACTATGCCAGCACTACCCGTGTCCCCCACTTCTTCAGTATTGGGGATGGAACCCAGGGCCTCACAATTGCCAGCCAAGTGCTCTACGACTGAAGCACACCCCAGCCCTTCCAGGAAGCCCCTGCACACACTCGCTATAGCTGCCCACTCTGAAGTCTGTAGTATATTTGTCCTTACTTTATAGGTGAAGGAAATGAGGCACAGAGAGGTCCAGTGACTAATGCCAGATCACACAGGGAGAAAGAAGAGCCAGGATTTGACCCAGGCAGCTCAGATCTTAGAATATGCTAATAACCACTATTTTGCACTGCCTGTTTTCCTATTACTTTATAAAAAAAAAATGTTTTGTTAGTTGTAGATGAACACAATACCTTATTTATTTTCATGCAGTGCTGAGGATCAAACCCAGTACCTCACAGGTACTTGGCAAGTGCTCTGCCACTGAGCTACAACCCGGCTCCCAATTTTATTAGCTTTTGTATGTGCAAGTAAAGCAGTGGAGAGAGGAGAAGAATATGCAAGTGGCAATTAAAAGATGAAATACACATTAGTAGAAGAACAGATAGGAGTGTAGGAAATGGCAGAGAAGAGCCGTAGGATCTGGGTTTCTTGGGGAGAAACATAAGCAACATGGGGGCAGTCGCTGCGGTGGGGGATGCACATGAGGGAGCAGGACCACAGTCCAGGCGGCTAGTTCCTGCTCCTGAAGGCCTGGGCGTGCTTTTCTTTTGTCCTCGGTTCCAGGTCAGTTCTCTGGAGCAGGGGATTCTTTGGATGGTCTGAATGATGCAGATCATTCCCTGGCCCTGGCACAAGTTCTAGACTTGTCGAGGTCTGTGTGCTCCTGGCAAGTCCTCAGCGGGCCAGAACCCAGCGCAATCTTTAGCACTACACCAATCCATTTTCATGGTCATCCACTGCAGGCTGCAGTGTAAAGGGATCCTTTTCGTTGTCTGTACAGAGAACCACACTCTGAGAGGGCAGGGTACACTATACAGGAAGAAAGGCTTCCTTTGGGCAGAGGCAGTTAGTGGACTGGAATTAGCAGGGTGACAGGATTTTGGAAAGACTGGCTCGGCTTCTTGCCTGAGTAGGGAGATGAATCCTAGCTAAGCCATGAGAGCGTTGCCCTAAATCCTCCCTAAAGAGATAGGGGAAGAGTCAACATGAAACTATAGGGTGCTCTTGGCAATGAATTCACCTAAGAATCTGGAAGGTATAATCTTGGCTTGTGAACTACCTCTTTCTCCAAACTTTTTCTTTCAACTGGATACTTGACTGCCAGGAAGCTGGTCTTCAAGCTCATCTAGGAGTGCCTCACTTCTCCCTTCTAAGGGGGCAAATCATGCCAGGAAGGACAGGCCTTGTCACTGTCCCACCATCCAAGTTTAAGTTGCTGAAGCTGGCTTTGAACTTGCAATCCTCCTGCCTCAGCCTCCCAAGCCACTGGGATTACAGGTGTACGCTACCATGCCCAGCTTGTCCCATCATCCAAAACAAAGTGTTCACGTCGTGAGGGCACCCCCGAGCAGGCACTCTTCCAAGAACTCTCAAAGCTCAGCTTATTAACCCTATGGTGATCATGTGGCAATTCTAAGAAAAAAATGAGTAGGAACCTAAGTTCCAAAGTAAAGCTGAAGGGATTTGGATTTAGTCCCCAAAGTCATGTTAACTGCCCTTACATGGGGTGAGCCAGCCAGATGGGCCACTTCTGTGTTTTTAGCCTGGCCAGGGGGGTGTGAGGATCCAGAAGGCAAAGAAGACTGAAGGTTCTGGAAAATAAACCCAGCATTATCAGGTTAAAGGCTTTAAGGAAACCACTTACCTCAGCCTAGGAATGGGGGAGGCTTCATTTCAACAGATAAGCAAAAAAAAAAAAAAAAAAAAAAGGGCCTAACCCTTCTGAGAACAGTCCACTAACTACACTGCTTACCAAAGTGGCCAAAATCTGAGAAGCCCAGGCCCACTAAACCCATTTCCCCTCCTGCAGATGTGGCCGAACCTCAGTACAATTCCCTGCTAGCCGGATGTGGGGCAGGGAAGGCAGGCCCTGTGCTCATCTGTGGGGAAGAAGCAAGAGCTTTAAGGTCTGAACTTGGCCTTCCAGGGTCATATGATCCTTAGGGCTTCTCCCTACAGCTCTGGCTGGCCCTGTAAGCAATGGAGTCTGTGTGACAGTTGGTGACTGGGTAGGGACATTAGAGCTGGCAAGGGTAGCATGCCTCAGTGAGCTGATGGCTGTGAGAGGCTGAGAGTGGGCAGCTGACCAGGTAGGCCTAGAGGTGGTGGGCATGCTCTCAGAGGGAAAGAGACCACCATGGGCAGCAGACTGTGCCCCAGGTTGAGTCTCCAGAATGGCCACAAGCAAAACACAGGCCACTCATGCTCCTTTATGTCCTTCTATTCTGGACAGTTTTCCAACACTAGTATCTTCCCTTTCTCAATTCCTGATTTCTTATTTCAACACCCAACTCCCCCAAAAGGAGGTGACCAGGCAAAGATTGGGGGGAAGCAGTGGGCTGACATTAATCGATAGGAGCGGCTTCGAGCAGTTCATGCGGCCTTATCTCTCTCTCCTTTGGATAGCGTGTGTCCGCCAGAGTCCGCGGGGTCGGTGATTAATAGGGGCCATCACTCACTGTCCCGGACGGCTGAAAGGCAGCAGGGAGGGGGCGGCCCTCCCCAGAACTGAGATAACAAGCAGCAGGAATAATGAGTGGTGTCACTCCACTTTTCATTTTGATGGAAAGTCATTACGGGAGTCAACGCCAGCGACAAAGAGCCATGAATCAACTGCTCTGCTATGAAATTAAAATCGAATTGCTGGCCACCCCCAGCCCCTACCCTTCCTGGGAAATGGGGATGGGTAGGTGGCTTGGGAGAAGGGTGCTATCCTGGGGTGGGCTCTATCCAATCCCAGAGCTGGCAGTTATGGGCAGGAAGTGAACAGGCAGCTAGTGAAGGTGACAACTCCTGTCTCCACCTTGTTTACCAGACCCTTCCTCCCCAACCGCATTTCCCCTCTGCCTGGAGGTAAGCTGTGATTAAGAGGAAAATACAGCTTTTCTGGCTCCAACAGGGCTGCCACTTGAGTGCTCCCCTCGGGCTGCTGGCCGGAGTGGGACAGCCCAGGCCCACTGTTATGGAGACAGAAATCCAGCTGCCCAAGCCTTCTCAGAGCCCCTTGCTGAACCATCTGTAGTATTAATGGGGTCCCCTTTATTACCAGAAGCAAAAAAGAAAAACCCTTAGCCTGGGGCTCTATAGTGATAGCTGATGGCCCAGGGAGGCCACCTGGATCACGAACACATGAAGTGATATAAGTAACCGTCAGCAGTAAACCAAGAGGCTTTTGCTCTTTTATTAAGTCCAATTCAACTAACTACAAGCAGCAGCTGTGGTTCAGGCTGATAGGCCACAGGGCCAAGCCAAACAGTTTCTTGCAGAGTGCCAGGTCCCCATCCAGGGGATGGTTCCTTCCTCTGGCTCTCTGTCCTCCAGCCTGCCTGGCTTCTTGAGGGGAAGGGCTTCACAACATCAGCCCCGGCAGTCCCACCTCCACCTGAGGCTGGGGAGATGGACAGGCAAGAACACAGAGGGAGAACGTCAGACAGAGGTTCCCATCAGGTTCACAGGGCGCCCGCTGTACCTCTTGGAGATGTCAGCTTCAATCTAAAAGATAGCAGTACCAAGTGGGCAGGAAGCAGAGGCAGGTGCAATGCCTCCTTCTGTGGAAACAGGGTGGGGGGGTTCCTATGTGAGGGGTCTGCCTGTCCTGTCTTACCAGCTTCTGCAGCTCCTTGGTCTTCTCCAATAGCAGGTCCAGCTTGGGCTCCAGCGCTGCCTGCTCCTGAAGTGCCTCCTGCTGCTTCTGCACCATCAGCTCTTTCTTCAAAGCCAACAGCTGGGACTGTTTTAGTTTTTGCTGGAGGAATTCTGTCACTCGGTCCACATACCTGTGCAGAGCACTCAGTAAGGATTGATAGAGCTGTGCACCTTGAGCAACTCCATCCAACTGCTGGACAGGTGAGGCTCACAAACCAATTCCCTAATTGCCTCTCACCCTCATATACTTAAGTCCTTGTTTTGTAAGGAATACCCATTCTAGGTCCCCCTTCCTACTTGGGAAGTAGATCCTGCCTGTATACACAAACCACTCCTATCTTGCCCCCCGCAAACCCCTCTATCCTCAGGAGGTGATGTCATGGGATGCAGGGATTAGATTTAAGGGGTCATGGAAGAAGAGGAGGAATACAAGGGGAAGAGCTCAAGATGATGGAGCCTAGCATCAGGTTAGCCAGACCTTGGTGAGGCCAGAATCATAAACAGGTGTTGCATTTGAAGACTGGTGAGCCGACCAATCAGATCCTGCAGTGTGGACACCATGGTGACCATCTTTTCTTTGGTCTGGCCCTGTAGAATGGCGGGAGCCAACTGAAACTGGCTCACGGACAGGATGTCGGCCTCCTCACTCATCTCCACTGCTCTCTGGGACAAGAAGATCTCGAGCTGAGGACAGAAGAGTTGACTCAAATTAAGAAAAGAACTCAGAAGCTAAGTCCTCAGGCTGCTCATCCTGGGAGAAGGAGCAGAGTAGTGAGGGCTGGACTTTGGGTGAGGCAGTTATCACTGAACATGTTCATGGCTAGAAACTCAACAACTGCAATGTAAGAGTGTGCAGCAGCCTCCACTGTCATTCTGTGGTCCCCCATTCTGACCTCAGGCCAGTCCAGCTCTAGACCTCCATCTTTTCTCCCTAGCCTGTGGCTCAGATAATGAGAATGAAGAGATTCAAAGGTTTTCTCCACCCTAGTGAAGGTATTTATTTTCTCTTCATGAGGGGAATGAGATTCAGGGAATCGGAATCCATGTTTGAGAAACCCTGGATTAACACAAGGCCAGAAAGAATATGAGGGCCATATCTAGTCAGTCTTATTCTGCCATAAAATCTTGATACCTTTTGTCCTGCTTATCCCCTGAGGCTAAGAAAAGCCTCTCTGGGGAGAAAGACAGAACCCAGTGAGGGTTGAGATCTTTCAGGAGGGTCTCCCCAACCTGTAGTCCACTCAGAAGGATAGACCCCAACTTTCCAATCCTATAACAAAAGGGCAGCTGAGAACACCAGCTTCTTATTGGGGCTGCCAAAACCTCAGCCACAGGAATTGTATTTCAACTCAAATGAGATGGAGTTGTTTTTGTTTTTGTGGTACTCAGGATTGCACCCAGGAGCACTCTGCCACTGAGCTCTACATCCCCAGTCCTTTCTTATTTTCTTTTATTTTGAGACAGGATCTTGCTAAGTTGCCCAGGCTGGCCTTGAATCTGAGATCCTCCTGTCTCAGTCTCCCAAGCTATTGGGATTATGGTTGCGAGCCACCACCCAGCACAAGATATTATGTGGTTCCCAACTTGCTCAAAACCTCCAACAGCTTCCCAGCTCATGAAGTCAAACCACAGTTCTGACTCTACATCTCTGAGCTGTTCTTTCATTCCCCGAACCCAGGGCCCTCTGCTCAGTCACATGGCCTCCCTGTTGTTGCTCAAATGTACAAAGCACGCTTCCACTTCTGGGCCTTTATAGTGGTTCCCTCTGCCTAGAAAGCCCTTCCATCAGATACCTGCATGTCGAAATTGCCTACAGTCTTGACTTATAGTCACCTTCTCAATGACACTTCCTTGATCCCCAGATATAAACCACAGTCCTGACCAACAATACGAGTTTGTCTCCCTCCCCTGCTTTCTTTGTGTTACTTAGTAGTATCTAACATAAACTGCATACTTATCTGTTTCTTATCTGCTTTCCTGCTAGAACATAAGTTCCATGAGAGCAAGGACTTTGTCTTGTTCATTGCTCAAGCTCTGGAGTCTAAGACAGTGCCAGACACTCTGGAGGTGTATGAGAAACATGAGCTGAATGAATGGGGGCATCCTAATACGTTAGGCTCCTATTCCAGGACATGGAAGGCACTCAGCATCCCTCACGTGAATAGGGTCAGGTCAGGCCAGGGGTCAGGAATGATGCCACCTGTGCTGAAGCAAGGCCTCCCCACATCCCCCAGGTGACAGTACCTCCATGAGCTCATCAATGAACTGATTCCGGGTCTCAGGGTATTCAAGAAGTGTCAGAGCATCTGGGCCTCTAGCAACACCTTCTGGAGCTGCCAGGAAGAGAGGGAGAGAAGTGAGGAAGGATCACAGGACTGGGGAAGAAAAAGATACACTTTAAAGTTTGAGAAGCCCTGACAGATTACCATGGACAGACTCACTGCACTAAAGGCTCTTCCCCAAGGGGAAAAGTTAACTTTCCCCAGGTGTCTCAGGCCTAGTCAGGCCTTCCTGCTCTAACCCGCATCCTGCCAGGAGAACCACAGAACTGGATTTCAAGGAGCACTAAGCCAGGCAGTGGGAGGTAAAGTGTCGTCCTGCACTGCCCTCTAGTGGCTCTGGTCACTGCTACAGTCTCCCTGCTGGTGGTCAGACTTTAGGACCAAGCTGGTCCCCTTAAGTCCCTGCCATCAGTACAGGTGACCCACATTCAGTCTCTAGAAACTTTGAGAGTTTCTAAATAGTTCAACAAATTTCCTGTGTTTCCCTCCACTGACATCCTCAAGATTTTGAGAAACAGTTAAATGTGCAAGAAGCCGAATTTCAACAGTATTATTTTTCTTTGTGCCTAGACTCAGGGGTCCTTGAGCACCCCACTCTTGCCAGGGCTGCAGGGATGGAGCACTTACCCTGGGTTCCTGCTTCAAGCACTGTGATCTGCCAAGCAGTAGCATCATCTCCCCAGTCTATCCCCTCAACTCCAGCATCCTGGATAGAGAGCAAAGAACCCAATGTTGGGAGAATTTCCCCAAGCCCAACGGGCCGGAAGAGACAAAAGGCTTTGAAAAGTTCAATGACTGAAAACTCCAATTGCATTAAAGTCTACAACGCTGAGGTAGGTGACAAAGATGGCAAGTGTGGGCCCAGTTATGTTGTCACCCTTTTCCCCATTTTTCAGGTTCCCACCTGCCTTTACCCCCACCTCTTGCTCCAAACCACAAGAGAAAGGAGGTCCAAACTCTGACATGTCACTTCTGAAACTACCTTCCTTGGACTGCACCTGGCCTTGGGGTTGTGAACTTGGATTGAGGCCTTTACGGACACAGACAACACTTTTCTATGGCCGAAGCAGGACCACACAAAGTCCTCAAAGAGAAGGACTAGGAGGATGTCCTAACCTTTGACTCAGATTCCAGGGAGATGCCCCAGTCGATTCCAGAGACTTCAGCAGAGATGCCGGCATTGGAAACTGTCTCCATCCCAAAGTCGCCCCAGTCAATCTAGAAGGCAAAAAAGTGTTAGCTCAAATAAGACGTGTAAAACGAAAAGGAAGGGGGCTTGCTTTCCCATGGGCCTTAGCTGCTTCTATAGGGAGGACACATTCAAATGCAATAGGCTCCAAGTTCCCAGAAGAAAGTCATCTTCAGAGAGCTCAAGTAATTGAAGGGCTTCTCGTTCAACAAAAGCCAGCCTACTGATGTTCTTTAGCACTTTTCTGTACTCTGGTTGTAAGAAGGCCAGAAAAGTAAAGGAACAGAGTCTTCTAGATCTTCCTGCCAATAGTTTTGCTCACAAGAACCTCCTTTATGCTAGGTGTGGTGGTGCACACCTGTAATTCCAGCAACTCATGATGCTGAGGCAGGAGGATTGCAAGTTTGAGGTCAGCTTCTACAACTTAGCAAGATCCTAGTAAACTCATGAGCCCCAGTCTCAAAATAAAAAATTGAAAAGGGCTGGGGATGTCTGGGTTCAATCCCTAGCATCAAAACAATACCCCCATTCACTCTAGAACTCTGAATTCAGGTCAGAGTTTAGAGTGTGTGCTGATGGGGCAAGGAGCACTCACTCAGCTCCTAATGAGGCCTATCTTACCGCATCTTCTTCCAATTGCTCAGGAGGCTCCTCCAGGCATGGCCGCTCTACCACAGACGGCTCTGTTCCCGTCCTCCATTCATACACAGTTGAGTTTCCCCGTTTCTGCACGTACCGCAGCATCGGCAACACCTGCTCTGTAGGGCTTCAATAAAGCACACAACTGACCCTCCTACTAACCACTTGGGAAGCCAACACTGGGCTCTAGCCTGGGTCACATGGTCAAATGGGCAAGACTCCCACTGATTCAAGTATGTACAATATTGCTTACATATCATGTGGGAAAAACATGCATGGAGAAGAGAAAAGAGACAGGAGAACAGGCAAACCATCCCTCCTACAGAGAAGCTTGAAGTCCTTTTTACCTTTCACACACAAACTCTACACAGGCCTGGTACAGGTCGATGGCTTCCCCCAGGGACTGAGCCCCTGCCCCAATCTCAGTCAGCTGACTTGGCAGGTCCTTCACCAGGGCCAGCAATTCTCTTCGGACATTGTCTCCCTAGAGAGGGGAGAGAAGGGGAGCCAAGACAGATGTGGCAGAAGGGAGAGTCTAACAGGCTAAAGAAAATATCCAAAGACTAGAGACAGGTAAGACACTGGGGCACAACCCAGCCAAGAAGGAAGTCTTTGCTGGCAGCAGAGGAGCAGGGCTCAGGCACCCTCCCACTGTGACAAGGCACCCAGATGCCCATTCAACCACAATGCCTGCTCACCGTGATGCCATACTGTTTGCAGGAATGATAGAACTGCTCACGCATCTCAGCAGCCCCTGCCTGGCCCTCCTCCTCTTTGCGGCTGTATTCTTGTTGCAATTGCTGGCACTTAGCAATCTGCTTCTTCAGCGAGGGGATCTCGTAGTTGACATTCCGAACCAGGAGGCTAGAAAGTTCCACTGAGGAGGATCCAGGAAATTCACCCCAGGACACCCACACCCTAAGGCAAGTATGCCCAAGGATGCACACAAAGATGCCCTAGCACGATGGGTTAGGAGCAGGGATTGACTCCCTAGCACCCACTTCCCTATTGTGGAACCTGAAATGAGTTAAGTAGCCTCTCTACTCCAACTCTCAACTGTGAAACAGGGACAATATTTACCATGCAAATCCATATGAAACCCCAAGCACAATTCCCTGCGTTTAGTAGACGCTTAGTAAAAAGTAGCTGTTATGATTATTTATACTATTCAAAAACACAACCCAAAGTACAACTGACCCTTTAGTTGTTCTCTCAGGCACCCAATATGACCCATGCCTCTTCAGCCTAGCATTGAATAGGGGTTCAAAGAGGTTGGGGAAGCACACCCCAGCTTACCAAGGGAGGGAAAGCAGGTCAGGCACTTGCTCAGTCAGGCTACAAATGCCCATTACTTGCCCAATCCTCCTCCTGTCCTAGCACTTTGTGGAATTGATTTTCCCACCTACAAACAGGCAACATCTACACTCTAGTCTCTCCCCGCCATAAACTATGTCTTCTGTAAGCCTGGTGTCCTCAGAACTCTGGGAGGGGGCCTCCCCGTGGATGCCAGGGCTACTTTAGGGCCACTTTACCTAAGTAGGTATTGTCCTTCTCATACAGGGCTACGATTTCTTGCCAATCCTGAGTAGAACAGAAAGAGTACGTCAGCCAGACTCAGCAGTCACCTCGCAGTTCACTCCCTGGACAGGGGAGGCTCTTCCAGCCTTTTCATTAGACACAACATCCTTGCCTTCTTCAGAAACTAATGCTGGCCAGACCATATGGGTGTTTTGTGTGTATGTGTGTTGGGGAGGTACTGGGGATTGAACCCAGGGAACTCTTACTACTGAGCTATATCACCAGGTCTTTTGCCAAGGCTGGCCTGGGACTTACGATCCTCCTACCTCAGCCTCCTGATTTGCTGGGATTATAGGTGTGTGCCCCCACACCCAGCCACATACTTTTAAGAGCATGGTGCTAACAAGTGATCCCCAAAGGGGAAGGTCAGAAAATGTAAGCCCAGGGGAAGGATATACTTTTAGCATAAACTACAGGGACAGAGGGAAAGTTCAGGACATAATCTATGTAGATATGTCTATAAATCTTTAAAAAGACCAGAGAGGCACTAGCCCCATGGACTGGGGCCACACATTACCAGCCCTTGGCTACACTTACCTTCATCCGCTGTGAAGAGTACCGGCCAAAAATGTTTTTTGTGGAAGCCTCAGTGCCTTTGAGAAGGTCCACAATTCTCAGGCAGTGGAAATAGTGAATGTCTGGAAGACAAGGAGGAGTGAGGATTTAGGATTACAGCATCTTCCCACCTCCTGACCTTTGCAGGTGGCTGACCCATGGGTCCTACACTGCCAATAATTTCACCATGTAGCTCTCTCCCTTCATCATTCAACGTGGGGAAAAACCAGCATTTAAACTCCAAAATAAACTCTCTCTCTGGGGTCAGCCCTGCTGGCTAAACAAGCTCAGATGAAGCAAATTCAGGAAAGCAGAACTCAGGCAACATAGCCGCAGTGCACTCACAGGACCCAGAGAGCAGCTGGGCGATCTCTTCGCTCTCTGGCATGTCCTGGATGGCAGCATTGATCTTCTCTCGAATCGTCAACACCAGACTCTGCCATTTCAGGTTGCAGTGCCTTCTATCCACCAGCCAGTCTGCACGAGAAACACCCAAATCACAGCATACCTTCATACCACCTAAATGCCATCACTATTAAGCTTAACACACTGAGAAATTAACTAAAGTTGTCTTTGTATTGTTTAAGGTATGGGAAGATGAGAAGAAAGGTCTAAAGAAAGGTTTGGGGCTAGACAGACTCTGGTGGCCTGTCTTTATCCACAGTGATTTTTATAGAGCAACTGGCTCAACACAGAAATAAAGCAAACCTTTAAATTGGTCTTGACAGGAAAGTGCAACTTTTACCACACTAAATTCTCCATATTTTCCTTCTGTGGGTAATTATATCTTTCTTGTTGACAGAGGATGCTGCTCAACTTCCATGTCCTCAGGGCTGGGATTAACCATGACAATGGAAAACACAGGCAGTTATGCCAAGTACCGGATGAATGAACAACTACAAAGCTCCTAATACCTACAGCGCCCCAAGGACTAGATAACACTAGTCTATTCTTTACAATGAAGTGCCACCCTGCACACGTGACTATAAACGTGACTGACCTCAAGGAGTCTGGACTGTTTTGTGGTTTCAGAGCCAAGCACATTTCCACATTTCCTCAATAGAAGAGATCTCTAAGATCTAGGTTTTGTGGTTAGATAGTCCTGGTTATTTTCTTGGTGCTCGAGGTTGAACTCAGGGGTGCTTGACCATTGACCTACATTCCAGTCCTTTTAGAGACAGGGTCTCATAAGTTGCCCAGATTGGCCTCTTAACTTGTGATTCTCCTGCTTCAACTTCCCAAATAGCTGGGACTACATACCACCAGAACCAGCCATGTGACCTTCATTTTTTAATGTCCAATACATAAAACAGTACCTGGTAGAGAGCTAACTCAGTGAATGCTCATTTACTGGTTCTTTCATTTCCAAATACAAATTCACACATTGAGCACACAGGGCCTGAAGAACTGGACAAGTGTGAAGTAAGGCCAAAGAAGGTCCACTGGTGGCCATCATACAGGACTAAATGGCTCCATACAGTGCTTTACCACTGAGTTACATTCCTAGCCCCCTAAATGGCCCCCTGTAGTGGCGAATTTAGAACCATGGCCTTTTGCTAACAAATCTGTCAACTGGTCAAAAACTATGATCCCATTCCAGAATCAGTAATATTCCCTCTTCTGTGTTCCTCTAAAATTTATATTTATAAAGAAAAATCTCATTGCTGGGCGTGGTGGCACATGCCTATAATCCCAGAGGCTCGGGAGGCAGGATGATCTCAAGTTCAAAGTCAGCCTCAACAACTTAGTGAGGCACTGAGCAACTCAGCAAGACCCTGTCTCAAAACGAAAAAAAAAAAAAAAAAACCATAAATTCATAGATGTCATAAAATGAGGAGCAAAGAGCTGTGTTTGATTATCTTCATAGCAAGATTGGCATTAAATTGATGAGTCCAATGAACATTTTTAAATGCCAGGACTGTACATATGCCCTGAGATGGTCAGAATGAAGAGGTCTTTCCTTGTTTTGAACTGGTAAAGAGGTATGCAGACCAGATAGAGGTGGTCTGGACACTAAAAGATCTCTATTTACTTTCACTGGTCTTGGTTATACTGTGCCTGTAATCCCACTTACTTGGGAGGCTGAGGCAGAAGGATCACAAGTTGGAGGCTAGCCTGTGCAACTTAGGAAGACCCAGTCTCACAACAAAACAAAAAGTGCTAGGGATATAGGTCAGGAGTAGAGTGCCTGCCTAACACCTGCTGGGCCCTAGGTTCAATCCTCATAAACGGGAAGGGGGGGGGGAAATCTCTATTTCCAACTGAATTTGAAGTCCCTCTTCCCCCTAAAATCAAGGGGAGATGGAAGCTTTTTTTGGAGGGGATATCATGGATTGAACTCAGGGGTGCTCAACCACTGAGCCACATGCCCAGCCCTATTTTATATTTTATTTAGAGACAGGATCTCCCAGAGTTACTTAGTGCCTTGCTTTTGCTGAGGCTGGCTTTTAAAATTTTTTAAAATTTAATATTCATTTTTAGTTGTAGTTGGACACAATACCTTGATTTTAGTTATTTATTTTTATGTGGTGCTGAGGATTGAACCCAGGGCCTCGCCTACTGCCATAACCCTAGCCCCTTGAGGCTGGCTTTAAACTCAGGATCCTCCTGCCTCAGCCTCCTGAGCAGCTGGGATTATAAGCATGCGCCATTGCGCCTGGGGAAAGCTTTAAAAAAAAAAAATGGAATCCAAAATTGAACCTAGGGTGCTCTAGTTAGACCCTTCTTAATTTTTTTTTGAAATAGGTTATAGCTAAATTGCCCAGGCTGGCCTTTAACTTGTGATCCTTCTCTTCCCCCCCCCCCCTCCTGAGTAGCTGGTGGTGTACACCTAAACGGAAGTTTTTAAGATGGTAAAGTTTTTTCCCCGACAATGCAAAGGGCATTGTTGAGCCAGACAGACTTGTTTCAATTCAGATCTGCCACTGACAACTGATCATCTGTCACTCAATAATATGATTTGATAACATATGTTTAAGTAGAAAACCTTGGTTAAGTACAGACACTCTGCGGTTCTTCCCCGCTGCTCTTAGTCTGGTCATTGAATAAGGTAGGCGGTCAGCACCTCAACCCACACTTTCAGAGCTCTTGGCTGTTGGCGGCAGGGGGCAAGTAGCAGGCCTCCCCCGACAGCCGACTACGCGGGGTCGCCCCCTCCTACCGAGCAGTTTGCTGGTCTGGATGTCGATGGGCAAGTGCTGATGATCCTGGTGGGAAACACGGCGGGGAGGGGCTCCTGAGCGCGTGGAGGGGACGCGCCCCGCGCGCACTCATTTCAGTGTCCCAACCGCCTCCCCGAAGGGCCAGAGCGACGGGCCCGCAAAGGCTGAGCACGGGAGACAGATCAGAGAGTCAGGAAAAGGGTCCCGGGCCAGTTCCCAGTTACCGCAACCCCGGTCTCCACACCTGCATCCTTCCTTCACTTCCGCTTCCGGCCGGAGACCCCGCCCCTCTCCGCCTCACCATCAATCCAGTGCGGGTGTAACTAAGTCTCAGTTTAGGCGCAAACGGGCCTACTTCGGCCACGTAGCTGCCTTCCGCGTAGCCAATCGGGGCGCACGCGTCCTCCCCAGCGGCAAGCCCCGTCCACCCCGAGGCTCCGAATGGCTGAGTCTAGAAAGGGCGGGAGAACAGGGGACAGCCAATGGGAGGCGTAAGGCGGGCTCAGTGATGCAGAGCGCAAGGGAAGGGGTGCAGGGAAAGGGCTGCAGTGGCGGCGCGGCCACAGAAGGTGGCGCCCAAGAGCTTGTCCCCGTTCCTTTCTCCCAAAGAGGGCACAGATACCCCTTCTGTACTGACCTACGCGTCCGCAGGCAGGGTGGTACAGAAGGGGTATCTGCGCCCTCCTGACGACATTTTCCGAGACAGTTGAAAATGCCTTCTTGCCTCACCTTACCGTTTACAGCAATTTGTAGATCTCTTCTGACACTTATCATTCTTTGCCTTCTGATAGTAAACTTGGGTTGAGCACCTCCTTCTATTGGACTTTTAAGGAAGGGAAGGGAGAAGAGGGAAGATCAGGGAGATATCCTAAAGATAACACCTAGGGTAGGAGTGGTGGCGCATTCGGGGCCAGTCTGGGCAATTTAGTAAAACCCAGTCTCAAAATAAAATAGAGGAAGGACTGGGGATGTAGCTCAGTGGTAGGGTGCCTCTGGGTTCAGTGCCTCTGGGTTCAATCTCCAGTAAGGGGGCGGGGGTGGGGTGGGGTGGGGGAAGAACACCTACATTGAGTCTTTTTTTTTTTTTAATTTTTTATTGTTGGTTGTTCAAAACATTACACATTTCTTGACATATCATATTCCACACTTTGATTCAAGTGGGTTATGAACTCCCACCTTCACCCCATACACAGATTGCAGAATCACATCAGTTACACATCCATTGATTTACATATTGCCATACTAGTGTCTGTTGTGCTCCGCTGCCTTTCCCATCCTCCACCCTCCCCCCTCCCCACCTCTCCCCTCCCCTCCCCTCCTCTCTCTCTACCCCCTCCACTGTATAACCCCCTACATTGAGTCTTAAAGGAAGAGCTGTAGAATGAGGGGTGATGTGGGGAAGGGTGTTCACAAGCTTCACAGGCCACAAACTGCAAGAGGGATATCCTGGAAGCAAGAATGGCAACATAATTTGTGGGGTCCAACACAAAGTAGAAATGTAGAGGCCCTTGTTAAAATTTTATGAAGAATTTCAAGATGGCACTGCATAGGTCTCACAGAGAAGGCTGGTCTCAGGCCAATCTCTGTGCAGTAAAAGGTTTGAGGCAGGGAATGGATAGAGAGGAGGCCATAAAAGTGGAAGGGCTGTACCAAAGGGAGCCTCATTCAGGAACTTAGACTTCACCCCTGCAGACAGAGGGGAACCACTAAAGGGTTTTAGGGTTGGGGGTGGGGATACACATACTGGTTGCAAGGAGGATGGATTAGTGGGAAATAAAACTGGAGACAGAGAGACTGAAAGGAGGTTGCAGAGGTTAGGGCCTGATCTGGGACAGAAGATGTAGGGAAGAGGAGAAGTACAGGATTTGAGACATGTTTAGGAGGAAAATGGACAGGACTTGGCAATAGGTTGGCTGAGTTTTGGGGGGATGGGGCCCCAGGATGACACATAGGTGTTGGGTGGGAGTTCTAGGGCCTGAGATAGGGATGCAGGATGCTGAGCAGGTAAGAGGGGAGGGACCTTTAGCTTTGAATTTGTGGACTTAGCACTGCTGGGGACCTCCTGTACTTTGAAGTACAGAGAAGTCAGTCAGGCTGGAGAGACAGCTTGTTGAGTCAGAAGCTGACTGATCTGTGGTCATATGGTGGCCAAAGCCAAGGGAGGACTCAAGATCCTCCAAGAAATGGGTAGAGTGAGGGGAAAAGGTGAGGTATGACAGATTCCCCAAGATCTCATAGAACTGGGTGTGCCACTTGTGAATACTGCCCTCCTCCTGCCCTCTGACCATTGCTGCGCAGCACCTGGGGCTCAGTAGATTTTGGACTGAACTCAGTAGATCAGTGGGAAGACCTTGATTCCTACCCAGTGAAATCTTGTGATAAAGCAGTGGGAAGACCTTGATTTCTACCCAGTGAAATCTTGGACAATTTCCACACCTCTCCAATAACCACAGTTGCCTCATCATGGAGATAACACCTATCCTATCTCAGGATATTTCTGTTTAGAGACTTAACTAAATAAACACACTAGATGTACATAACTCTTTACAGTTTATAATAAGCTTTAGATATGTGTTAGCATGCTTTATATCTATATATGATATTACATATAATCATTATTAGTATAGAATAAGTTGAAAGACTTCCCCTGAACAGTTCACAGGGAGGAACTAAAGGTCTGCCTCTTCAGGGCTGTCATGGGAATTTGGCTCCTATCTCAGAGTCCTGACTCAGGCAGTAGGAATTCCTCACACTCCCCTGTGATTAAACAAACACTTACTGGGCTTCAACTATGTGCTGCAGGCTCTCTGGGACACCCCAGAAGCATGGTACTGCCTCACCCTCAAGGTGCATCTCTCCTCCTTCAACCAACCAGTGGGGAAGTGCAGGGTAGGGTGGGTCTAGAAGACCCAGCTTGGTGAGTTGTTGGAAGCAGAGACCACCTGCGCTTTGTCCCCACCTGCAGCTTCCGAGGTGGCTCGCATGGAGCAGAAAGATGTTTGAGAACAGTTCTGCTCAGCTGCTGACTCAGGAGAACTGCTCCAGAGAGCATAGGTTCCTGGACCTTCAACAGCCTTCTGAACTGCTCCAAGGCCTCAGGGGACTTGAGGGACTGTGGGCAGATATGTGATATGGCCTCCAGGGCATTGACTCTGCCTACTTGGGATGACTTTGGTCATTGTTGTCCCCAGCAGGGAGAGGATATAGGAGGCTTCTGACCATGAATATCTCAAGTCTCTGCTAATTGAGCAGATGAGACACTGAGGGAGGGACAGCACACACAGGGAGGTGATATAACCAGGCTGGGCCAGTTTTGCAACAGGGAAACACAGCCCCACAAGGCTGCTTTGCTGTCTTCTGTTGTTGTCAGCTTGCTTATTAAGTGATAACCATGTGCCACATGCTAGTGCAGATCTAGATATTTTACAAGCCTTATCTAATTTGATCCTTTTAACGCCTTGTGATGTGGGTACTATTATTAGCAAAAGCTTGGTGAAGTAACTTGTCCAAGAAGACACAGCTGGTATTGGTGGGACTGGGATTCAAACCTAGGACTATCAGGCACCCCAGCCTGCATTCCTGTTCTCAGTGATGTGTTTCTGCGTCTCTTACATCCCAGCCTGCCTCACTTGCTTAGTGACAAGTCCTTACCCCCCACCCCCCCACCCCATCTATTTCTATCTTATCTTCAGCCTAATGCCCACTTTCCCCAGTTGTTCTGCCAGACACATGGGTCTCTCACTCCTGCTGTCCCTGCCCTTTTCCAAAGTTCTTTCTTACCACACCCAGTTCTGGGCAAGAGTGCCCATGACATATTCTCCCACAATATCCATAAAAAGAAGACTTACCCTTGACATCCAAACAATCTGTTTCTTTTATTCGCCCTATGTGTATTGCCTTATGGTCTGCATGTTTGCTCCCAGTCACAGTGACTGTGTGTTTGGAGGTGGGGTGGTGTTGTGTATCTGCTTGTTAGGCTGGAAACCCTGGAAACTTAGCAGCCTTTATCTGGGTCTTTTGCTGTTTGGGGTGTATCTCTGTGTTGTTTTTTTTCAGTTTGTCTCCCCAGTGGTCTATAAGTATGTGGTGGGCAAAGAGTATGGAGTTGATATCTGTAAACCAGCATCTGGCAGGTGTCAAGTGTTTAATGGATGCTTGTACTAGGAAGAAATGATAGAAGGGACAGCCATGTGCAGGAAGGTGTTTAATGATGGTAGTGGTCATGATGAGTGGGGACCATCATTGCTTGGTCTTGGGGTAAGGGGTCTGAGGTCCCCAGTTCCCTTCCTTATCCTTCTCTTTAGAGCACAGGACAGGGGCTGGGGATGTGGCTCAAGCGGTAGCGTGCTCACCTGGCATGTGTGCGGCCCAGGTTCGATCCTCAGCACCACATACAAACAAAGACGTTGTGTCCGCCGAAAACAAAAATAAATAAATAAAAAAAGATTATAGATCTCAGGTCATAGAGTCAATTTCTTGCTAAGCTTCTCAGAGAGTTAGGAAAAGAGGAAATCAGGGAAAAGTATTTAGAGATGGTTGACTTTTCCAGTTAAGTACAATCTGTTGCAAGCCCATGTAGGGCCAGTGTTCCCTGGCTCATGCTCTGGGGCCACTAATTGCACCCTTAACATGGCCAGCCACACCCTTCCATCCCTTCACTTTTGTTAGTCACTTAGGAAAAACAAACTCACTGGGTGATCTCATGATGTGTGTCATCTCCTAAGGATACCACTGTTTGTTTCTTTCTTTCTTTTTATTTCTTCCTAGTGCTGGGGGTTGAACTTAAGGCCTCCTGCAAGCTAGCCAAATATTCTACCACTGACCTACATTCCCCAGCTGTCTTACTTTATTTTGAGACAGGATCTCTCTAAGTTGCCAACATTGGCCTTAAACTTGAGATCCTCCTGTTTCAGCCTCCCAAGTGGCTGGGTTTACAGGCCTGTGCCTCCATACCTGGCTACTGTGTTTCTTTATTTCAGTATCCCCATCAGGGCAGGGGGAGGAGATCTAATGTGTCAAGAAAAGGAAAAGCAGGTATATTGCCAAACCACCATCTATTAGCCTCCCTTGCTGTGCAGTCCCATGTTGGCCCAACACTATTGTCAAGGTGTTGGGGACCTTCACATGAAGACACAATTACAGACTTCATGAAAGGTGCAGTATGCTGTGTGAAGGACCCAGCATACTGCATTCTGCATCCCATGGGAGCCTCCCAGAGTCCAGCACTTTGCTCATGAAGAGCAAGTGCTTAAAAAAAATCCGATCGTAGCTGGGCAGGTATTGCATTCCAGGAGGCTGCGGCAGGAGGAACCCAAGTTTGAAACCAGCTTCAACTATTTAGTAAGATCCTGCCTCAAAACTTAAAAAA